CCAACCGCAGTATTTAATGCCCGTACGTAATTTGTCTGGGCAATTTTACGTTCAGTAGTTTGATACTGCTTCTCAAAGGACGGCTCTCGATTCAGTGTGGAAAACTGAGCAAAGCGGTCAGCATTCAAATCACCTGCAGCAGGGATCAAGCGAGGTATTTTGGAAACATAAACGCGTTTGCAACCACTGAGCCTCAAATGCTCACATCTGCAAGAAAGCCAGTCGAGAAAATACTAATTGATTCAAATGGAGCAATACCATTAGGGTCTTGGACTTCACAAGTTAAATGTAAGGTTCTTAATTCACGGCTGTCAATAGATCAATATACATGGATAACTACATGGTCATTCAGGGATGCTGATAAATTGAAGACGCTCGACAGAGGGCGTGGTGTCCTGGATGCACGAAGTAAATAGTTTATTAGAAAATGATTTCATTGCACAGGCACGAAAGTTTGAAAACAGTCTGTTGCGAAATCCCCAGATGTTTTATAACCGAGGAAATAGGATGGATTAAGAATTCCTTTTTAGGAGGATAGGTAGTTAAGTTGGTGGGGTAGTTGCTTGGTAGGTGAAGTTTGGGTTAGGTGTGTCGTTAGTTGGTTTGAGGTTGGTTGGGGGGAAAGATGGGTGGTTCGTTGGGCTACTGGTTCGCTAATACGTGGCTTGGGTTAATCTGGGGAGTAGATGGCTGGTTGAGTCAGTTAATGTTCGGATTTTGGAAGGTTGGCTGAGTGGAGGGTTAGGTTTGTGGACGGTTGGTTGAGTCTGGAATGGTTGGTTTGTGTTTGGTTGGGTGAGTAAATGGTTGGTTGAGTTGCTGGTTTGTCGAGTCAGTGAATTGGTTGAGTGAGCAAATAGTTGGTTTAGTAGTTTTTTGGGTGAGTGAATGGTTAGGTTTATGGATCCTTGAGTGAAAACATAATTAGGTTTGTGAATGTTTGGGTGAATGGATAGTTCGGTTTGTAGATGTCTGGGCTAGTGGATGGTTGGGTGAGTGGGTGGTTAAATTTGTGGATGGTTGGTGGAGTCAGTGAATGGGTGGTGAGTGGATAGCTAGTTTAGCGACTGGGTGGATGAAGGAATGGATTAATGAACAGCTTGTTTGTTGGGACGGTGGGCGTATAGCTGGTTGGTAAGGCGGGTGAAAAGATCACTGCTGGGTGGTGGCTTTGTTTGTTTGACGGTTGTTTGATTTGTTGTATGGATGGTTGGTTGGTTGGATGTTTCGTTTGTTGGACATTTGATTTGTTTGGTGTGTTTGATGATTGGTTGGTTGGACGAATGGTTGGTTTACTAAATTGTTGATTGGATGGCTGGTGTGGTAATTATGTGGGCGGATGTATGTTTGTGTAAGTGAAAAGCTAACATAAAGAATAACCATTGTAAAGAAATTAAACATGTGAAAGATGTAAAACATATTCTGAAAAGAGTGAAAGACACTGCACCAGGGCTTGATGCGGTTATATTTTCCCACATAGAGATATTAGTGACGTAGACCTGTTGGCGATGACTGCCTGTTTCAACAAGAGCATTAAAACAGCTTCAGTCTCACAAGAGCTGATGCACATCTACTCTATTCCCCTTCCTAAGCTTGGGAAGGATCATTCAACAGTCAGCGGCTTTATGATCATAACCCTACAGAACGCTTTTGGCGAATTTCTGGAGAATATAGTGGCGAGTAAGCTACAAGCATTTTGGGAACCGAGAAAGCTCCTTCCAGGAGGTTTTGGAAGTTAGTGGCCAAAAATAAATACGTGGTCAAATGCAGTCCTTTTTGCTTTTGACACCTTCGAATGTTTCCAGAACAGACAGGAAACGGTGGTAGCAGCACTTAGAAGAGTCAGATTTAGTGTCTTGATGACATTGCTTACAGAGAAGGAAGTCTGTCCTTGGCTGATGAACTGGATAGCAGATGTTGTGTATTCTCGTCAGATAGCTCTCCGCATGAGTTCATGGACCCCTAAAACATTTGCTATATCCCCAGGACTACTACAGGGTTCAGCAATTTAACCTGTGCTTTTCAATGGTTTTATGAGCAAGATTGCAGAGCTGGAAAAACTTTAAGTTGGCAGAATGTTGACATTCGCAGATGATGTCATATATAGGCAGGGAAGAGATCGCAAACAACTAGCTCAAGAAGTGCAGGCTAAAGCAGAAAAGGTGATCGACTGGTGTACAGAGATGATTGCTGTAATTAACCTACAAAAGGCAACCGCCCTGTGGTGTTCTTTTGACAACATGATTGTTAGAGTTGATTTTCTAAGCCTCAAAATGATGGCAGGGACAACAAAAGAGACTGCAGACCGCGGAACCTGGGATTTTGCCTTTGACAGAAGCTTGTCTTTCAGCTAGCACACAGAGGAGGCTTTTACAAGGACCGGAAAAGGTCTTAATGCACTGAAGATTAAGCAGCAATGGACATGAAGCAGAGAATGCTGTTTACACAATAAAAAGTTAAAAAAAAAAAAAAAAACTAAAGATTCCTTTTCACGCCTTAAGGCGCATCGGGCATATGGTAAGAGCACCTGTAATTTTACAGACCAATCGGCATTATGCGGGTAATGTGGTCAGCATTACGCCCGCCGTCTTTACTTCCCCAGGACATACATCCTGGTACCCATTTTAGGCTGGGTCGACCTGCAACGCCCTATACCGTGAAAATAAATGCTCGCAGCCAGCAGGGGTTTTCGATCGTGGTAAGTTGGAATTACGAGTCGGACTCGCAACGCCTAGGCCACTGACGCCGTTATTTTAAACAATACCTGCACTTATCTATCTCAGTGACTAATTATAGATTGGGGTTGCTCTCTGTCTCGAAGAGTCAACTTGTGAAAATGGAGCGCAAACAAAACGAAGCTATGCGGGTTATCCTGGGATGTACAAAAGACACCTCAGCTGTGTGCATGCGATATATCTTTACATTGCTGACTATTACAGATAGGCTAAAGTTTTGATATCTAGGTCATGCCTCAGAGTAGCTGCAGACACTCGCTGTATGCAGTTAAGGGTAAGAGGCTAACAAGAGGCACATCACGGATTGCTCAAGCAGAATACACAACAAGACAAGTTTGCATGCCGGAGAACATTGGATGAGGAGTGGAATTAGATAGAGTACCACAGGAAATGTTTGACCTGTGTAGGGTTATGATCACATTAAGCCAGGAGTGCAGAGAATGGCCGGCGGGGGCTACTGAGGTGAAAGTCCAACAGTTGATTCACGACAAATCTCGTCGAGACGACCTGATTATATACAAATGGTTCTGTGTTGAGAGGGAAGAGAAGTGTCCCGGGGTTCGTAGCGAAAGCCAGTGGAACATCTTTAGTGCACAACTTCCTAGCATACAAAACCACAACATCTAGCATAAGAATGGAGATAGAGGCGGTCAATGCAGCTTTTCGGGGGGGGGGGGGGTAGAGAGCAAGATGCATACACATGTCGTAATTGTAACAGACTCTGTTAGCATGCTGAGAAAGGTGAAGGCAGGGTTGCTTCGAGCAGAATGTCAGGGTTGCTTCGAGCAGAATGTCAGGGTTGCTTCGAGCAGAATGGCAGATCTCACTTAGAACTTCATCGGTAATGAGCATACTTTAGATATTTCTTCTCCACCCTTTGCGGGCATGGTGAGGAATGAACAGGTGGACAGACTGGCTGGATCTCCACCAGTGGGTGCTGAATTGATAGATGACAAGGTAGATGTGGTCAAGTTCCTTTTAGGAACTAGTAACGATGGCCAGGTGAGAATGATGCACCTGAGTGTAACCAGGGGGTCTGGGTGACTCACGACAATAAGAGGAGAGACAAAACGGACATATAATCAAACTACGACCAATACCATTAGTATTGGAACTCTGCGCTGGCTGGTGAAGATGGGGGCTAAGCGCATGTGGGAATGCCCCGAGTACTGCGATGTCAATTATTGACTCAACTCAACTCAACTCTGTGAGTAAATGAGTGACTGGTTTAGTAAGTGGATAATAAATGAACAGATAAATAAATAAATGGATAGAGAAATAAATCAATACGTGGGCGGTTGATTCGGTAGTTGGTATGTAAATACTCTGAAGGAATCTCAGGTTCAGTACATTAGTATTTGCGTGGCCTGAGCCCCAAGTAGGTCTGTTCATTAGTCCATTCTAATGATACTGGCATATACCTACCATTTAAATGTATTTCTTAAAGCTGGGAAAACAAAAGGATATGCAAATCCGGTATCGATACTTTACATCTATTGATGTGCATTGTAGAGTGCAACCAGTTCATTCGTCTTCCTCTGTTTCTTCTTCTTCTTCTTCTTCTTCTTCTTCTTCTTCTTCTTCTTCTTCTTCTTCTTCTTCTTCTTCTTCTTCTTCTTCTTCTTCTTCTTCTTCTTCTTCTTCTTCTTCTTCTTCTTCTTCTTCTTCTTTTTCTTCTTCTTCTTCTTATTCTTTCTTCTTTCTGTGGACTGGCTGTGAACTCTGGCATAAAGTTTTCATTGTTAACCAACTTTTGAACTTCGGTCTTGTCCCAGAACTTGGGTTTTGCATGCACACACCATTTACAGAGCCTACTTATCTGTATGCAGACCTTACTTATTTCGTTCCTCGCCTCTCAGGCAAATGAACTTACAGTTGTATGAAAACATCTCCAATTAGTGGCATTTTACGACATGCTTTCTCAAGGGCAGGGGTTCATTCTTTTATTCTCCCAAAATATGGACCAAAAACCCACAAGAGGAGTTCGGGATTCAGCACACAGTATCATATACTTGGTGCATGACTATCGTGAAAATCAGGATCGACTTACTTTAATAATTAAGGCAACATTTGCTAAATATAAAATTAGACGAAAACTGTAGAAGACAGGATGGTGGGCAGGTAAAGACAGACACGCAGAAAACAAAAGAACAGATGGATGGACAGAGGTATGAATAAAAAGAAGGATGGATGGTTGGTTGCATAGACAGCCAGAAAGATTGGCTAAGAATGAAAATTATGGATTTCTACAATACCTAAAACAAATTACAAATACATAAAACATGGCTTACCTCGAGTTGTCGCAGATAAATTCTTGAGTCTTTTTGTAAATTCGGATCTACTATTATTACTTTCAAAGAATTCCTCCACATGTTGCTTATCAACTTGAGGGTTTAAAACTTTCTGCACTTCTGTGAAAACGGCTTCCATGATAAACCAGCATTCTGATTTCCCGTCGCTCGGGTTTTCGTTTGACTGATATAACATTCCGACGTTCTTATATCCATAATGGGTAAGAATGCTTGTAAAAACTTTGGCAAATTTATCGTAACTGACTGCTATACGGGTCAGTAGCCCGTAAATCGTCTTGTCACCGAAAGCCATTGGTTGAGCTCCTGCGCTCATTATAGGAATTCCCCAAGTCGGAGTCAATCTAGCCACAACTGCTACTGCATACTGGCAAGCAGGACCCAAGAAGAGGTCAGCTGATTTTTTGTTATACAGATCTATTGCTTCCAAAGGACCAGCGGTGTCAGAACATTTCGAATCTCGATAGTCAAATTCTATGGTGAAGTTCTGTAGAAGATTTGTTTTCTGTAAGATGTAATTCCGTGCGTATTCCACTGCTGGACGAGTTAGCTGTATCCGGTATGGGTAATCACCAGAAAATGGAAGAATTACGCCAATTCGGATTTTGTTTTCTCGATGACGTCTTAACGCTGATGATTCGCATGCTGGGTTATCTACGTCTAGGGGTAAGCTATATGATGTCGACGAAGAGGCGACCTCGCATACACTCTTTATAACACAAAGTACCAGAATAATCGACTTAAGTAAAAAATAATACTTCAACATTTTTATAACTTTTCCGACTGCCTCACATGTTTATTACATTTATCTATCGTTGATGGCAATGTCGTTGGTAGAGATTGTGCATCTAAAATATGTTTCCTTAGTTCTTGTGCTCTGTGTGCTGCAATTCCACTACTTCCTCAATTGCAAAGACGAGTTGAAGGCCATACACAAAGTTTTGTTAAACTGCAATCAGAATGGGAGTGAACTACACGAACCGACAGTGACTTTCTGATTTCTAATGACATGACATGTATATCCAAACATATACTGAGAACAATGTGTTGTAGTAATTGAGACAAGATTACGTAAACATGTGTGTTCAAACACACAGACTTTATATTGTCGTTTCTACAACACACGTATCAGAGAGAAAAATGACTACAAACACAAAAAAATGCAAACACAAACACACACGCGAACATACTTATTGATCCATATATTAAGACGAAACATGGTGATAACCGAGACATCTATACTTAAGCACTTGCATGTATACACCTAGGCAAACGCTTGTTGTATCGAAAAACATAAGTGCAAACATTCATTTAGGCAATTGCTCCTGGAACTAACACACACACATACACACATACACACATGCACGCACACACACACGCACAAATATCTAACATTCACAAAGCTGCTTTAGGTAACTTTCAGTATCTCTCTCGCGCAAATGAAACATTTTGATTTTTTTTAATCAGATCGTGACTACTTTTGATTTATAACACCAGCACTAGCATAATGAGTCTGAATGAAGATGAACAAGAAGGATGAAGGAACAGACAAGATATTTTTCAGCCAACAGATACCGTTTTAAAGGGAAGAACTTAATTAAGTCAACAGATCATCCTTTCCGAACCATTCATTTCTTTTAATTGTGTTTTCATTTTCGGCAAGCAAAACTGTTTCGTCAGAATATTGGAATTGGTGCACTTTCTAACCGCTTATAAATATAATTCACCAATTTTGTCAACACTTCTATATCAGGTTTACCAACAGCTGGTAATTTTTAAATATATTATATATATATATATATATATATATATATATATATATATATATATATATATATATATAGAGAGAGAGAGAGAGAGAGAGATCGGTAGATAGATAGATTAAAAACAATTCAAAGAAGTACTTCTATGCGTGTATTTAGGTGAGAGAAAAAAAAGGGGGTATTGGGGGCGGGGCCTTAGCATTCTTGCAGTTTGAGACGGAGGACGGGAAAAAAAAGAAGTGGGGGGGGGGGGGGGGAGTGAGCCTCCAACTAAAATTTACTGAGGGAGGGGGTCTCGATGTTCTTAAGCACCCAAGGTTCCAGCGCCCCTGGATCTAGGATTTCGAAGATAAGCCGGTCAAAATGGATGCCACGAAATATTATGCGTGATATAAACGTTACTATTTGATGTTGACCTCAACACAACTATCAAATAGGAAGTCACCTTCACCGTTCTTTTCGAATGGGATTCGAATCTAGGATATAGTACTGGTATATGAGTGTATGTACTGACTAACAGTCTATATAAACGACTACTCTTACAAATTCTGGCTGTATAGTGAAATAAATTTAAGGGATAAACCCTTTTATCGCTAGTGGCGCATTGAGCAATTGATGGTGAACTAATATTGTAACTACAAAATCGGCAATCATCAACTGATGTCGTCTACTCATGCCGCCGTCTATACTTCCTATGTCATTGCCCGGTATCTGTTTTAGGATAGGTGGATCTGCAAGCTAAGGTAAATTGTTTGCTGAATCCTCATAGTTTGGGTTTAACTGTAGCACACAGAGAAGAGGTCGTCGCTGTATATGTAGTCAAGGTTTTAACTTCACTGCAAAGGGACCATCCTATAGTTGCTCCGTTCTTGTGCCAGTAGACACCACACAAAGGCATATGACTACTGCTAGATATGCCAACACCGACAGTCGCCAAGAGAATTACAAATTATCGTTGATGGAAATAAGTAGTCAGTTACCCTGTGCTAGTTGGTTAAGCGCAAAATTATTGCCTTAGTTACTCATCAGCGCAAACATAAATCGGCTTATCGCTATTTTTTTAATAACATGACACAACCGCTCATGTTACAAACAAAAGTCATTCCAATAATAAGAACTCCGCAAGGAAGCACGTACAGCAGGAGCCTACCAATCGTCAGTAGAAGATCCCTCGACGACAACTGTTTCGGTCCACAAACTCCTAGACATCTCAGAGGCTGCCTGGGTCATGAATCCAGGCTTTGATCTGCTCCTCCGTCAGGGACAAGAAGAAAATTGTGACTATGCAACGGGTACTGTGAGATTCGAAGTTAGGTATGTTTATAGTCGCTGCGGTAGCCTATTAGATCAGTCGCCATACCTTAACGGCCAAGTGGCAAGCTTTCGGTTGGTTTATCGGATACATGTTAGACTTTGTTGGCAACTGGCAGAGGGACACTGGCAGACAATTCGGACATGATGGACTTGAGGGATAGGACTTGCTTTTCGACCAGACACCCTGACCAGCCTACCGAGGTCCGTCCCCCACGACGTTCCGTTGTGTCGAGAGCAAGCTCGAAGCCAATTCAGCAACTTCGCCCAGTTGTTTTAGTGATGCTTTGAGCTCGTTTCTTCGCAAGCCCACAGACAAAAGTCATTCCATTATAAATAAAGAGCTTAAAAAGCTACACCATTGCTTAACTCTGTAGAGGGCAGAGAAACCGTAGACCCCAGTCCATATGAAAACTGCACCAGAAAATCATTTCTAATTCAAGAAATAACTTCAAGGTTATGAAGACTTATTTGCCTATCTGTCATATTGGACCAGAAGCCTACAAGAAGGTGGATAAGAAAAGAAAGAAGTAAAAAACATAGCTAGGCAGACTAAAGGACTATTGAATAAATGTTAGATAGATGGATGGGAGGATAGATGAATATATGGATAGATTAATTATGGATAGATGAAATGATAGAGGAATTATGCGTGGACGGGTACTGTATTTTATTTCTAATTTTTTGTATTAATTTTGCTGTAACGATTACAGAAAACTGACAACAAATTGCTCACCTCTACAAACTGATGACAAATCCTTGAGATGTTTCTCAAAGTTGGGTGTACTGTTACTACTTTTCGTGAACTGCTCGACATACTTCATGTCCATATGAGGGTTTATAACCTTCTTCACTTGTACAAAAATCGGATCCAGGACAAACCAACATTCATCGTTTGACCGAAGAAGCATCCCAACGTTCTTATATCCAAAATGGGTAAGTATCGTTATGAAGACTTCAGCATATGCATCATAACTGCTCACCATACGGGTCAGTAGGCCGTAAATATTCTTGTCAGCGAAAGCCATTGGTTGGGCTCCTGCGCTGATTAAAGGGATTCCCCAGGTTCGTGTGAATCTAGCCACAACAGCTATTGCATACTCGCAAGCAGGACCCAAGAAGAGGTCTACTGATTTTTTTATATACATGTCTATTGCTTCCAGGGGAGCAGTGACATCGGAACATTTGGAATCTCGATAATCAAATTCTATAGAGTAGTTCTGTAGAAGATTTGTTTTCTGTAAGATGTAATCCCGTGCGTATTCCACTGCTGGACGAGTTAACTGTATTCGGTATGGGTAATCCCCAGAAAATGGAAGAATTACGCCAATTCGGATTTTGTTTTCCAGATGACGTTTTACTGCTGAGGGTTCGCATGCTGAGTTACCTCTGTCTGGGGGTGAGCTGGATGAGGGCGACGAAGACACGTCGCCGCACACAATATTTATAATGCATATTATCATAATAATCCATGGAAGTAAAGAATAAGTCTTCAACATTTTTACCCTTTAACAAAGCACGCAGTTTATGAACGTTATCTGCCCGTCATGACCATGGAATTGGTGGAGATAATTATGAATGAAACATTTATTTGCTAAGTTCCCATGCTCATTGCACTACAGTCTAGTGACTCCTGCAATGTGATAATCTAAAGCTTATGGGCAAATTTCTACTGGCTGTAAACAAAGTATGAGTGAACCAAACAAACTCAAAGTGAATTTTGATGTCTATCAGTATGTCACTCACATTGATTCATTCATTAATTTACCCATTTATTGTCCTGGTGAGTCAGTGTATACCACACTGGACTAGCTGCCTTTTCTTCTTTCAAGGTTTATTCTGTGTTCAATATGATAACATGGATCAAATCCAGTCCAACAGTCAAACAGCACAAAGGAAGTTGCAGATTTTTTAAAAATAGTATCCAGAAGCCATGAGTTGTTAACCCTTAGGCTCGGTATTATGGATATCTCAACCCTTCGGCCTTGATTCCATGATAAATACCGTAAATCTGGGAGAAATGTGGCTTTTCTGCCTACCCCCGGGCGTGAACCCGAACCACAGGAGTTCGTCACCCGGTCACCGCGCAAACCGGTTTAGCCAACTACGCTAGCGAGCCGGGACGAAGTTGTAGATAATTGTAAACACTGTGGTAAACACCAGGATAGCTGAACCAAGCCTACTGCAGACTAGATCACAGCTAAGTCACACAACCTGGGAGTTTAGTCACACGTTGAAACTCTGTTTCCCTCCCCCTCCCACCAATAACGTCAGGTTATTCTCAGCCACCTTTCCCTAAAGAAAAAGGAACAAAAGACCCCCCCCCCCCCCGACCCCGACCTTCCCCTCCCCCGCAGTTCACCAAACAGAAGTTCCGTTTTACGTATTCATGTCACGACATCATATTACTTTAGTATATTATTATAATTATTGGAAATTTGGCAGTTATTATTATAATTATCATCATTGCTATTGTTAAGCACTGAAACAAAGCGTAAACTCGTTCAAAATCCTCTTGCTCGTTGTTTGCGTTCACCCCTGGTTTACTGTAATATCAGCAGGAAGACTCCGAACCCAACCATGTGAATGGTAAAATTCACCCATTGCGATGCTCATTGTGAATCATTTTTACTATAATTCTAAGGAGGAGAATGTGAAGAAGAAGAACAACAAGAACAATAACAAGAACAAGAAGCCAGATTTCAGTTCATTTAGGAGTTACAGCTGCAGAAACAGCTGTGCTAAAGAACCACTTACAAGGGCCGGTATAAACAAGGTTATGTATAGGAAAAGCTACAATGTTCTAATTAATACATAATATCTTTCAGGCAGTTACCAATCCTTTCACTGACTGCACACACCTCTCTATACCAGCGTGTCAAACTGATATTTCACAACAGCCTATCGAATCGTTCCACGCTTGAGAGAAAAATAGCTTCCACAAGTACAACCACTGTGAGAAATCAGACCGATTATCTGTGAAATATATATGTTTATAAAAGTAAGACACGTTGTTTGCAGACTTGCCTAGCACAGTAGACATACAACGGATTATAATCGCCAGCCGTTGACACTCGCTCTATAGATCTGGCTGGGGAGACAGTTATGTTGTGTCTATCCTGGTAACATCTACGATGAAACTATTGAACATTTACCATTGATCCTCCTCAAGCCGACATGTTTTAGTAGGTGCAGTAGATATGTCTTCAAATGCCGCGTCATTTTTTTAATTCACTCACGACGCTTTTTGTGTATAGTCGAGATATTGAAATTTAAGTCGAAAAATGTCGAAAGAAATTATGTAGACTTTTTTCAATGAAAGAATCACGGGGCTTCTTACATTTTCTTGGCTTTTACTCACCTTACATTTTTCATTCGATCTGTCTCCACCATTTTTTCTCTTGCCTCGTGTTGTATTAACATACTGTGGGTGTGTTTAGTCGGGATATTGAATTTAATTTTTAACATATGTTCAGGATCTGCACATGTTTTACTTTAAAAAAAAAAAAAGCTCTCCTCTTCTCCCTTATAAGTTTTGCTATATAAATATAATATGGATGATACATAAAAACAATTGTCGTATAACAAATGAATGCTTGAGATGGCCCAATGTATAGCGCGCCTGCGTGCCCAATTTGTGGCATTTTACGACATGCTTTTTCAAGGGCGGGATGTTCGTTCCTGTAACCCTCTGGAAATAAAATCGTTTTTTCGTTTATCTCTTTTCATCATCATCATCCTTCTCATCATCATCTTCTGCTTCTTCTTCTCCTCTCCTCCCCCTCCCCTTCCTCCCCCTCTCCCCTATTTCTGCTGCTTCTTCTTCTTCTTCTTCTTCTTCTTCTTCTTCTTCTTCTTCTTCTTCTTCTTCTTCTTCTTCTTCTTCTCCTCCTCTTTATCCCTAGATGCCGCACTTGCCCACAGATAACTAAAAAAAAAAAAAAGTCTTATTCTTTGCTCAAGCATGCAGCACACCAGATGTCTTGTTTTCTTCGTGTTGCTTTGTCAGCTTTTATGTCTTCATTGCTCTGGGTCCTAGAGTGAAAACATTCTCATGTGTTCTCAACATGTGCCCTTTTCAACGCCAGGATCTTTTCTTCACCTGTTCTTACTCTCTCCTTTCCCTTGTTTTCCGGCACTCTTTTTAAATCTGTCTTCTCAGCCGTTCTGTCCGCAGCACTCCTTCTGCTACTTATGAGTTTTTTTTTTTTTTTTTTTAAAGTCCGCTTCAACTTCGTCGCCTGCTAATTCGTATGTTACATTCACCAAGTCTAACTGAATTTCAGTCGGTCAGTCAGTCACTCAGTCATTCTGATTGTCAGTCTGTCTGCTTGTCTGAGTCTAAACCCGTCTGATTCGTTTTCTCATTTTTTTCCATCTCTTCAGTATCTGTATTCCAACAGATGCAGACTTTCCTCATGGGTGGTGGCTCTATCACCCCTCCCCCTACCCCCTCACAGAGAAGCACGAGAACCCTTGCTTTCAGAGGAACGTCAGGACTGATGGCACATACAGTATGACTGCCTAACATCGAAATAGGAACACTTCGCTGACTGCTGAAGATGAGGACAAAGCGTTTAAGCTAATGTCTCAAATGTTGTGATATTGTCTAATAGCTGAACTTAAAAGCCATATATACAATGTGCTAAAAGCCATCAAGAATGTATTTGTTAAAATTGGCAACTGCTTCTATATTGCCTGAACTTGAATCAAGTCAAGTATATCGGAATTATTAAACTGCGTTCATACTCACTAAACCGCAGATGCTGACCCATTGCAGCGAACAGTCTCCTAAAATACATTTGTACTTGGTATATTCAGATTCGGCGAGGAACAGAACTCGATTCTACCGAATCCATTGTAATCTTCCAGGGAAATATTCTATAGCAATGACAGATTCGATTTTAAATACTACTTTCCTTAAATAGCTAGCTACTTTAACGTTCCAACTGTAGCAGCGGTGATTGCTAACGGACGGGCATTCCTCGGTTACGGAGATTGTGAACCAGACTAGTCTTATCGAATGTCGTTGGGGTGAAAGTGTATGGTATGATGTTATTAACAGATATGTATCAATCCTCGTCGTGAAACATGGGTGTAAGCATTAGATGGGCATAGTTCGACCTTTCATCGATCAGCAGAATCATGGACTGGGATTGTGTTCTTTCATAAGCTTGTCATGTGATTGGCAAATCGAACGTAAGTGTCCGTTTGCCACTTCACTGATGCTACAGTATATAATACATATTGCGTGTGCAACTGCTGATTGGTTGTAAGTACCTCTTCCATCAATGATATTATTCTGATCTAACGTGGAGTGTGGGATTATGAGAGCTGGCACTTCTCAAAGCTGCCTTTTGCATTTAATGTGGGTTATTGGCTTTCATGAGATGGCAGTCCATTTTAATATTTTTTTTTTTAAAACATTAGACAGCAACACAAATTCCAAATGTTTTTGCTGACACAGAAAGAGGTCTCTGCTGTTGCTGTTGTTGCTGGTGGTGGTGTTGGTACGCGTTCTTCTTCTTCTTCTTCTTCTTCTTCTTCTTCTTCTTCTTCTTCTTCTTCTTCTTCTTCTTCTTCTTCTTCTTCTTCTTCTTCTTCTTCTTCTTCTTCTTCTTCTTCTTCTTCTTCTTCTTCTTCTTCTTCTTCTTCTTCTTCTTCTTCTTCTTCTTCTTTTCTTCTTCTTCTTCTTCTTCTTTTTCTTCTTCTTCTTCTTCTTCTTCTTTCTTTTTCTTTTTTCTTTTTTCTTCTTCTTCTTCTTCTTCTTCTTCTTCTTCTTCTTCTTCTTCTTCTTCTTCTTCTTCTTCTTCTTCTTCTTCTTCTTCTTCTTCTTCTTCTTCTTCTTCTTCTTCTTCTTCTTCTTCTTCTTCTTCTTCTTCTTCTTCTTCTTCTTCTTCTTCTTCTTCTTCTTCTTTCTTCTTCTTCTTCTTCTTCTTTCTTCTTCTTCTTCTTCTTCTTCTTCTTCTTCTTCTTCTTCTTCTTTCTTCTTCTTCTTCTTCTTTCTTCTTCTTCTTCTTTCTTCTTCTTCTTCTTCTTCTTCTTCTTCTTCTTCTTCTTCTTCTTCTTCTTCTTCTTCTTCTTCTTCTTCTTCTTCTTCTTCTTCTTCTTCTTCTTCTTCTTCTTCTTCTTCTTCTTCTTCTTCTTCTTCTTCTTCTTCTTCTTCTTCTTCTTCTTCTTCTTCTTCTTCTTCTTCTTCTTCTTCTTCTTCTTCTTCTTCTTCTTCTATTTTTTTCTATTTCTACTTCTTCTGTGTTCACCCTTATAAGAGTGGTTGACACCTTATGTTACAGCTAGGAGTGATATCTACGTCTTTCGGTTCAAACACATCCGATTTCACCAAATTCAATTAAGCTGCCTCTCACAACAGGATAATTTGGAGCCAATGAAGCCATTCTTTTTTTCCGAAAAAAAAAAAAAAAAATATGGTCCACGAAAACCACATGGAAGATGGAAGCCAGCAATAATAGGATGACCTGATTGGAGTAAAGTTAGAACT